ACTCCTACTCTAGTGGAGTTTGAGAATCTCCATGTCCAGTGAGTCAGCAAGTAAGGCTAGTACCACCCCAAGAGCACCCCTGCCTCATGACATAGAACACATACAGTGACTCTGAACTGTAGGCAAATTCATCCTTTGTACATGATCCACTTCACATTCCCACCCAAGACTCTGAGCTCCTCAAAGATGAGGCCAAATCTTATTCACACCTCTGCTTCTGAGCCTTGGTACTGAGTATTCAGTGCACAGGCACCAAATGTGGGGACAGACAGATGGGTGGGTGGGTGGGTGGATAGATGCATGGATAGATGGTTGAATGGGTTCAATAAATGAATGGACAGCACAAATTTATTTACATCATGTTTCTGCTTAAATCCAAGACTTTGATCTCATCCCTACCCCAAAAAGTATCCTGAAAACAACATCTGTAGTAGATTTCAGTTGTGTAGAGATAGCAAAGGGAATTTTAAAAGATTTTTGAAAGTGTGGGCCTGAGTTGTTGAGATTTTGAATGTTAATCTTGGTGACCAAATTTGCTCTGAAAGAATCACAACAGAGAGCAACGGAACGTCACTCACACTCAGAGTCCTGATCAAACCACCCCTGCTTGTATCCATGTATACCCATAGCGCTATGTGGACATAACTACATATAGATGAAGGTGGTAAGAGAAACTGAGGGAAAAAGAAGACCCAGCCTCGTCTGGGGAGAAAGGACAGTAGCCAAAAGGAGGAAGACCCCATAAGAAAGGTCATCTCTTCCCAGGAGGAAGGTCTGTCTAAACTCCAAGCATCCCTCACTACTCATCTGTCGTTGAGGTTGAGAGACTCAAGCACAGAGAGAGCAAAGGAGGCAAACCTATAGGAAAGAAACACAGACATGAACAGAGTGGGAGAGGAACAAAGGCAGGAAGGCATCCTCTGGGAGGGGCAGGAGGACAACGGGGTGGCAGTTGACTGCTGAGCTGGCAGCTCAGGGCAGCAAGGGCTGGGGGAAGGGGAGGCCAGTGCTGACTCCAGCTGGCCTTTCTGTTAAAAAGTGGCAGGTATGGGGGGTGAGCCATAGGCTCTGCTGAGGTCGCAGTTGAAAGAGATGGAGCAAGGGACAGCAGGAGTAGCAAAGTCAAAAGGTCTCGATGGCTGTGGGTGGTGTGAGCCAGTAGCCTATGGCCCTGCATACTCCTGTATCTGTGGGGCTCTTTTTCTATGACAGCAGCCTGGTCACCCGCAGCTCTACTAAAGGGAAAGTCAGCATTTCCACTTGCCAGCATCCAGACTTTCTCCTGGGGGAGCCGCAGATTAGCCTCCTGGATTAAGCTCGGCTGCCTCCCTCCCTCCCTCCCTCGATCTGGAAGCCTGGCTGGGGGAGGACCATGGAGCAAAGCCCTCAGGATACTGCTGAGCTGTCACATCCAGTTCACCACGCAGCCCCGGTGGCATTTAGGGGCAGTGTGGATGGGAGCCCACTCCAAACCCCAAACAGAGAGAGCAGCTAATGACTGGGTATTAATGATGCCAGCAATTAGTGCTCACAGGAAAGTGGCGGGGGCCTGCTCACCAGGGGCACATGGGAGGAAACAGAGCGCACATTCTCGCACATTCGGAGCAGCAAGCAAATCGGTAGTGTGTATGACCCACAGAAGCCAGAGTGAGCAGCTGCCACTGGGTTTGTCCAGAGAAACCGGGGCTGGGGGAAAGTGACTTCTCCAAACACCAGGAGCTTGTCTGCTGTACCCACTTCCCTGTGGGTGAAATTAGGGCTGGGCACAGAGTTTGCAGAAACAAACTTGTGAGAAGACACCACAAAAAAAAAAATAAAATAAAATAAGGAGTGTTTTTGAGGATTCTGGAACTGTCTTTGTCTGAGGAGGACCTGGATTAGCCCACATATGGCTATTCCTTTCTGGTCAGTCAAATGATGCTTGGTGAAGAAGCCTGTATCTATCTCATCAGCAGGGTGAAAAAGAAAGGAAGACAGGGAGGAGCTGGAGTATGTTGCTCACCCACAAGCCCACAGGTGATAGAGACAAGCATGGGACATATCTCCATGTATAAAAAGGAAAGGCACAGTTTCTTTACTAAGCAAGCCCATGTGATCTCTCAGGGACAACACCTAAGGAGAACACAGATACCCACTGATAATTTCACATTTGAGATCCTGGTAAAAAGAGCAAAGAATATAACAGTGCCGGTCACGGAAGTCTACTTGGAGGTGACTACAGGAATGGCTGGGGAGGAGACTGTCTCCTTCTGCTTACTGTTGTTGCCAAGACTTTGCACATGTACACACATATATACACATGTGTGCAAAACCACCACTCACTATGGACACTACAGGGGAGGTGGGGAAAACACAGCACAAAGGAAAAGCCATCAAAGCACTATAAAACAGGATGCTGGTACACAGGAACAAATGGCCAAGCACTGAGGAAATGCAAGAGATAGGCTAGCACTGGAGGAGCGAGAAAGAAAGCTGACACTTTGGAGAGAGAACAAATCACTAATCTGTGCTTTCCAAATAACACCTAAAACCAAAGATCACTTCCAGCCACTTCTTGATAGGAGGCCACAGCTCCTGTGACTTCCTAGACACTTAGACCAGAGAAGAAAAGAGAAAGGGAATTGGCATTGCCAGCTGCCTCAATACAGACAGGCTTCTACACTGACAGAAAAGGCAGGCTCTCCCAAAGGGCAGGCAGAGAGCTGGGTGTCATAGATAATCAGGATCTGGTGCAGAAAGAGTGACACTACCCTCCTCCTCCAGCTCTGCTTCCCAGATTCTGCCCAGATGGCAATAGGAGGTGAGAAAACGGGGGTCTGTCACATTAAAAGCTTGAACCCTCAAAGTTGGAAACAAATTAATGTCACAGGATGCATTTTCCCCAAATCCAAATTCCTATATTGAAGCTTAACCTCTAGTACATTGGCATTTGGTTCTATTCAAGCTAGAGATTGATAAAGAAGTAATCAAAGTGCTGGAGAGACAGACGGCTCAGTGGTTATGGGAGTGCACTGTTCTTGCTCAGTTTTCAGAGCTTACATAGGATGGCTCACAACCACCTGTAAATCCAGCAATGATCTTGTGCCCTCTTCTGGCCTCCACAGGCACTGCACTCATGTACACATACACACGGACACACATACACACGTGATTTAAAGTGAAAATAAATCCTAAGAAGAAGTGGAGGAGAAAAAGTAAATGAAGAGGTAAAGTTTGTTAAGTGAGGCCACTGGAGCTGGGGAGACAGCTCAGCTGGTAAAGTGGTTGTCATGAAAACATAAGGACCTGAGTTTAGATGCCCCCACCCCACCCCCTGGCAACACCCATGCACAAAGATGGAAATAGTTGCATGTGCCTATAATTCCAGAGCTGCTGAGGCAGAGACAAGCGACCTCTGGAGGTCTCCACAGCCAGTCTTGCCAAATCAGTGAATTCCATGTTCAGTGAGAGACGTGGTCTCAAAAACTAAGGTGAAAACCAACTGAGTACATGCAAGTGTGACAGACAGACAGACAGACAGACACACACACACACACACACACACACACACACACACACACAATGCAGCTATTAGGGTGGGTCTTGATCCTGTCTGCCTGGTGACCTTATAAGAAGAGACCCCAAGAGAAGAGGGCAGAGCTGCCAGAGGACAGCCATTTGCAAGGCCAGGACAGGGCTATCCGGAAGCCAACACTGATAGAGCCTTGACCTGGGCTTCTCCAGCCTCCAGAGCCATGAGAAACTAGTTGCTGTAGTTTAAGACTCCTGACCTAAGGTATTTTGTTGTGCCAGCCACAGAACACTGTGGCAGCATGACCATGGGGCACAGGCCAGGGAGGACCACACACAAAACTTAACAAAGATCTTAGCCAGGGCTTGTTCTCATGGTTTCAGATATTTGATGAAAGTGTCCACCTGGCATCAGTCACACAAGCTGAGATACTCAACTACACAGGTGTCATCTCTAAATTTAGAATCTGGTCACTTTTAAAAGTCAGATTCTTGTTCGCTTTAAGAATGTATCCCAGGGCTAGAAAATTAGTTCAGTAGTTGAGAGCACTTATCATGCTTCCAGAGGACCCAGGTTCAATTCCCAGCACTCTCATGGGGGCTAACAAACATCTGGCCCTTCAGTCCCAGGGACCCAACACAGCCTTCTGACTTCAGCAGGTTCCACATGCACATGCATGTAGAGAACATACATACATGCAGACAAAAGCTCATATACATGAAATAATACACTAAGTCTAAGTGAAAAAAAGTTTTTAAAAATACATACCAACCAATTGTATAAACAAAACAAAGCCCACAACAAACATGCACAAATACCCCTCCCTCCAGTGGTCTCAGTATGACCCAGATCTTGAAGCAAGCTCAACAGATTCCATGACCACATCCTTTTTGGGGGGCTTTGGTCATCCCAGAAACCACAATGGTTAGGAGAAAGCCAGTCAAGCGGAGAATGCCTAGCCCCCTTTTGATTCCTAAGACATAACTACAAACTGAGGAAAGGGAGGAAGAATAGAAACAAATCTGCAGGATCACTTTGAGTCTTCAGAGCCAACTGTCATCCCAAGTGATGTATCCATCCAGATGGCAAGAGAGCTCCGTACCCAAAGTAGTGACCCACACAGGAAAATCAGAGCAATTAACCAGCAAATATCAGTCACTCCAACAGCTGCGAGTGGCTCTTCTGCAGCCAAGGGACATGATGGACAGGTCTGGCATGTGACAGTGGCCAGGTGAGGACACTCCCCTTTACACCCCACATCCATCTGGAGATAAGGCTGATCACATGTGTTCTGACCTGCTTACACTTTGCTGATTGCTCAGCTCAGACATAGGTATGGTGGCTGGCTAAGTTTAGGAATCAATTTACTGCAGAACACCAAGCCCCATCAGTTGTTACTGCCAGAAGATACCAGAGTGGAAAGAAAAAGGTTGTTCCCCATGCTACCTGCTCCATCCCTGACTCCCCAACATTACAAGTGGGGACTCACGTCTGTGGTTCTCATTTCTGTGGTTGGGCGGGGACCGAGTGTCCTGGTCTTGGGCTTCATCTCCCTCCTCGCTGGCCAGATGAGTGTGAGCATAGTGGTAGCTGAGTCCCGGCCGGTTCTTGTAGCGTTTGCCACAGACTAGAGAGAAAAAGAGAAGAAAAGATGGACAATGTGAGCAACGTTTTGTGGTCACTCTCTCACTCTTTGGGGCAACAGTCCCCAGCTGTCCACACCAGAGCCAGGTTTCCCCTTAAAGGTACCTCCCACCCTCAAACCCACACTACTGTAACCATGTGGCTTGTGTACTCAAAAGAGGTACAAGAGCACAGACATCGAGGGTTGAGTAAGCTCTACTATTCTGCCTGCGAGACCCCGGGCAAGTCAGTGAACTACTGGGTGTCTCCATTGCTTTAGAGATAAAAATGGGAATGATAGCAGTACTAACTCATTAGTGACACACAGCACAGAGTACTTAGGCAAGCACTGTTTGTGTGCTTGTTACGGCTCAAGGTATGCTAGGCAAGCACTTCATCACTGAGCCACACTCCCAGCCTTAACAAGGCACTTCAAATTTACTGAGCACAGAAGGGGGATTATCAGCATAACTTTGCAACTATCACTGGAAGCCTATCCAGTCCAACGTCTTCAGTCACCAATGAGGTAAATGAGGCCCTAAGCGACATACATGGAACACATCAGTGGAAGAGCCGCCAAAACCCAGGTCTCCTGGATTCCTCTGCAGTGCCCCATCTACTGTTCTGCAGCTGACTCTGCATAAAGTAGCAAATTTTCCATGTATCAGCCCATGATTTATACCAGCAAAATGTGCTCTACTCTCACCACAAACACAATGAGACTGAGGAATCCTGGTGGCTATAGTAGCCAAGAGCTTGTGACCTCAATGCTCCAATTAGCCTCTGGCACCCTAGACCTGTCTCAAATAAGACAGCTTGAGACAAGAGGCAACTAGCAACACTAATATGTCATCTTAGAGGCAAGAATATAGGGGGTGACTCCGCACACTGGATGCTCAGGGTATAGAGAGCAAAAGGCAGGCAAAGTGACCTCCGGCCAGACCACCAGCCATGCCTCCCCACACTCAACCCAGACCCCAGGCTTTGAGGGATGGGGTTGCCAAGAACAGAGACTTCAGGACCCCAAATGTTCATCCTCCTTTCCCCCCAAATGTTCATCCTCCTCTCCCCACAAGCAGGCCAAGCCTGGCAGACTCTACAGGAGCACTGGATGATGGGTTGGTTCTGAGGGACTCTCTCTTCTCCCAGATCACTGGCACCAGAGAGCATAAACCCTTCATAGTGAGGAAGAGCAGGCCTTCAGCATCAGACCTAGGTTCAAATCCCAGTTCTAGGCATCCAAATTCAGTGGTTGTGACCCTTACTCTATGAGAAGAGCAGTTGGTACTGCCATAAGGACTTCTCACAGCTTGTCTTTTCCTGTCAGATTTTCCTGGGCTTGGCAAAAGTAGAGAGCACCATCTCCTCTGTCCCTTATTTAAGCAAACTGCATCTAAGTAGTGTAACTCATTTTGGGCAATAGCCAGAACAACAGCTTTAAATGGTAGAATTGGGCATCTCCTATTTTTCTGAAGTTGGATCTAGCTAATTTTTAGCCTTTATTAAATTTAAGCAGTTCCTATTATTACTGTCTTAGAGTCTTATTATAGGAGAGTTTTATCAACTGCCCTTTAAGTGTCTCTAATACATGTGTTTCTTTAGTTTGTGGATATGGTGAATTAGGTTGGTTCCTAATATTTCCTATTATGGAACAATTCTTGTATTCCTAGAACACGCTCCATTTGGTCAGAGTGTATTATTTATTTGATATAATGCTGGATTCAACTTGATAATATTGCATCTGAACTCAGACTCGTAGAGCTATAATTTTTGAACTCTCTTTATCAGGGTTCAATTTTATAGTTATGTCAACTTCCAAAAAATGAATGGGCAAACTTTGCTATGTGAAATTGGACAAGACATGTAATCTCTCTGTGTCTTTTCTCTGGAAATGGAGATATAATATTTACTTTGGGGGTTAATTAAAAGATCATAAATAGTATTTGTACAGAATCTCATCCAGTCTGACATAATAGATGTTCAATAAACGGTAGGTGATGGACAAGAGACACCAGTCTTGTTGATCACATCTTAAGGGTTGGACCTCCCCAAGAGAAACTTTGATCCCTCAAACCATGCTGTGGAATCTGACAATTGGTTGAGCTTCCTTGATAAGTGTTTGAAATTGAAGCTGGTGACCTAATAACTATAAATTTAAGCATTCACTCTCCTCTCTCTCTCTCTCTCTCTCTCTCTCTCTCTCTCTCTCTCTCTGTCTCTCAACAAACTAAAATGGTGCCTTGCATCTGAGTTCCATGTGACTTAGGAAGCAGGACATAAAGAGGCCCCTGAGGTATATTCTATGCCTGCTTGTGGCTTTCCATTTAACCTTTTAAATGATCTAAGGTCAATAAGCAACAAATTACAGGGTCATTGGATGTGAATCCACTTAGTCGCCACACACTGTTGTTGAGGAATGCATGTCTGTTCAAAGTAGAGAAGCTTTCAGTATTTTCACAAGACAGCCTAGACCCTCCACACAGATGCACCCTGATCCCAAGGGAGCTGTATGGTCAAGCATTGCTTTTTTTCTTAATCATAGAATTTCAAGATCTTAACAGTCACTTAGACTGATCATCCACTAATATTATTCCCACTAATACTCTAGAAGCCTGTTCAGGGACTCCAGGGATGGGAACTTACTACCCTTCAAAGAAGTTGCTCTTCCCCTGGACTTCTTGACTTAGGGTCCTGTCTATACCCACAGTCTTCCCTTCAGGGTGGTTTCCTAATGGCTTCTCTGATATTCACCACTCCACCTCATCTACTCCAGCTGTCTACAAAACATATTAGTTGAGTGGCTGACAAATGGCCATAGAAGCACTTGTGGGAGAAACAAGAGCCAGGAGTGGAGGCAAGCCTACATCTATCCACACTAATCTCGTACTAATGACTCTTAAATTAAGCCTACAAGCTAAACCCAAGTGATACCATCACTTCTTCCCCTAACACTACAGAGAGTGATACTTTGGGGAAGAAATTCTTTTGCTAGAATGCAGATTCTCAGTATGTGATTCCCAGAGCAGCACCACCAGTATCACCTGGGAACTTGTTACAGAAGCAATTCTCAGGTGTCACCCCACCCCCTGGATCAAGCTATCAGGGGAGAACCAGCCATCTGCTTAGCAAACCAGAGAACTCAGATTATCCTGGAACTCACTAAAGCTTGAGAAGACCTCATAATAACCAGCTTGGTCTACCTACCCTCCTAGTATGTGGGTGTGGGGTGGAGGCAGGTAATTGGCCACTAGAAGTTCCAGATCCAGGGAGTTCAGAGAGGTGTCCTGGAAGCCAGACTCCTTCATGAAGTGCCTCAGGATGATGGAGCCACCTCATCCTTTATGGCTCATTTGAACAGTGTGCTTACTTCATCACCAGACCCTCAATTCAACAATGTATTTGTTAAATGCTAATATATGTTAGCCCAGTGGCACCAAAAAGGATGAAGACAATGGGGCCAGTATCCCTCTCATCAAATAGTTCTCAGTCTAGCAAATGGTATTTGCCTGTAAAGGAGACACAGAATGTGGCTAGCAGTATGAGCAGGCTGGCCAAGAAGGGTATCTGAGATGGGCAGCAGATGACCTGAACTGGGGGAGATGGCTTCCTAGAGTAAGAACCCCTTAACAGGAGAGCATGAGATGAACTAGACTTGGCCTGGGCTCCAGAGCACATCCACCCAGCACCTCGGGGGCACTGGAAGCCATTTGAGAAATTTGCAGCTAAAAATGGGGTGGAGCTGGGCGTTAGTGGCACATGCCTTTAATCCCAGCACTCGGGAGGCAGGCAGATCTCTGTGAGTTTGAGGCCAACCTGGTCTCCAGAGTGAATGCGAGGATAGGCTCCAAAGCTACACAGAGAAACCCTGTCTTGAAAAAAACAAACAAAAAAAGGAGAAGATGAAGGAGGAGGAGGAGGAGGGGTGGAGATTGAGGGGTTTGAAGGAACTAACAAGAAAGGTCTCTGGGCTTGACTCCATCCTGACAATGAGGGGCCAGGGGAGAGGGTTAGCCAGAAGAAAATCTTAATCTGCCTCACATGTTAGCATAGTGCTTACAAGATGAATTTGAAGGGGGCAGGACACTATTTGCCTTGTTGATGGGTTAAAAAAAATGGCCTTATAGGTGGAAATGAATTATTGGGTATTAGAAACCACCAAGGTGCCAACTAACATGTCTGTCTCTAGCCTTAACATGGTTGTCTCTGATGTGTGCCACCTAGCCTGGCCTCATCTGGCACTAGGTCCTGCCTCCTTTGCCTCCCTGCTTATTTCTTAAGCAGTTTTCTCCTTGCCACGGAGCCTTTGAGCATGCTCACCCCTCTGCCTAGCCTGCCGCCACCCCAATTTTCCTGATGAGCATCTAATCATCCTTTAGCTCACAGTTCTAATGCCCTTCCCAAGGGAGGTCCTGCCAATCATTGGGACCCTGGTGTTCACCTTCCTGGGACTAATCCATATCACTCCTACAGGCAGCCAGTGAGACAGACCCTGTACAATCACTGATACTATGTCTGCAGCAGCCAGCATGGGGTCTGACTGTGGCAGACACTTGGATGTCAGCTAAGGGAAGTAATGAAGACTCCCAGGTTCCTGACTTGGGTGCATTGTTAGGATATAGGAGAATAAACAAATTTAAGAAAGAAAGAAAATGGGTTTAGCCTATGGTACTTTTATCCTCATGGAAAGAGATGTAACTGGACTATAGGCACAGTGGCATTGGAAGTTACGGTGTTGTGACACACCAAGGGAAACTTCGGAGAGGAACAACAGAGCCAGTCACAGGAAAGAAATTGGGGAACACAAGATTCCTTTTTAAAATTGCTAAGAAAGACTCACATGAGAGCCGGGAGAATACTCCATGGGAAGAGGGTCTCAGGACTGAAGCAGCATCAAGCCTCCCAGCCATAGCTCCTGCCATCAGTCCCTGAGGGCTCCTCATAGGCTGGGGCTCTGAGTGCCACAAGCAAACACAATCATGGGAACTCACATTCCCATTGTGGTGA